GAGGAATTCGGGCGCAGGGTGGAGCTGGGTGGCCGACCCATCCAGAACGGACAGAATGATGACCTAGGGGTTGTTTTTCAAAGAATGTAAGAGATTTGAACATTTGGTTTGAGAACTCAGGGTTTGGTTCCCTGCAGTCGATCATGGCGCTCTCGATGGTGCAGTTCTCAGGGCTGTAGGTGCAGTACGTCGATCAAAACATTTTGAGGAGCCGACGTCGTGTAAAACTTAAAACGTAGATTGTACGAGTTTTCTAGCTGTCATTCGGAAGCGCGATTATGTCGTGTTCTGAATGCTTGTCTACGTGTTCAGAGCTCTAAGAGGGTCCCGGTGGTAACCTCGTTGACGGTTTACCGCCGGCTCCCAGTTCCAAGGCGCGCGTTATTCAATCTATTCGTTCTTCAATCCATGAGCAGACGATTATTGTCTTGCCGCGGGGTGTACAAGCGTATTTCGGACTCGAGACGGCGCGAAAAGGTGTTGCTGTGCAGATCCTGAGGCCGACAACCCACGAAAAAAGCGTTCCCGTATAAATCTGGAAAAATACTAGTCATCTGGACGTTTTTTTTTTTGATGTGAGAGCTCTACGAGGGTCCCAGCCATCCTGGATTGGCAGTGTTGCTGTTTTTCTGTGCTCTTTCTGAGCCCGCTCGCTGCCCCATGAGGGCCTGACCGCGAGACCGCAAACCGCAAAAAACCTGGTTGGCGGTTTACCGAGGGCCCCCAGTTATACACCTCTGTCCAGATAATCTCGTGGCTGAATGGTTGCCTTGCGACTCTCGGTAGACGCCCAACCTGATTCCAGCAACCGACTCCCATGCCGTCGCAAGAAACGCTACCATCGAATTCAGATCTGATGGCACACGCGCGAAACACCTGATCTACCTGTGGGACGTACGGCCCTGTCTATTTACCGACACACTGGTGGCCCACAGTGGGCCGTGTGAGTAAGCGCATCTGCACGCACGTTCCATTTTCTGTAAGTGTGGTCGAACTGAAGGGCAGGCCGCCTTGTGCCCTGCATGGTCAATGGGGGTGTACAAAAAGCGGCCCGGGGAAGAGCGGTCTCGAATACCTCGTAGAGCTCTTCGGCATCGACGGGCTAGAGGAATTCAGGCGCGGGGTGGAGCTAGTTGGCCCACCTAGCCGGGGCGGACAATCTGGGAGCTTTGGGGCGGTTGGGCAGATATTGTGAGAGAGTTTTATACGACGTCGGTTCCGGGAATGTTTTGGTCGAAATACTGCGCCTACAGCCCTGGGGATTGCACCGTGCAGCGCGCCATGATCGACTGCAGGGAGAAAGAATCTGGATTCTCAAAACGAATTTTCAAATCGTTCAGAATCTTGAAAAAAAAAAGAAACCTCAGGTCACCACAGTGTCCGTTCTGGCCGGGTCGGCCAACTAGCTCCACCCCTCGCCCGAATTCTTCTTAGCTCATCTCGTCGAAGAGCTTTACAAGGTATGCGGCGTTCTCGATTATGCCAACTTCGGCAATGACTAATGCCGAGATGATGTTTCGGTTTGGAGATGATGTGAAGAAGTGATTGTTGCTCTAATGCTATCCTTCTGTGGTGTGCGTCGTGCGTGCGTGCGTGACTTCGGATGCTCGTCAGAGCTTAGACTGTCGCCTTCCTGATCGTTTGGATCGATGAGACTTCGCCTGCCCCCCAAACGCCCGCCCCCCTTGCTACCGACTAGACTGGAGATCCTCTACCCATCTTAGATCTTATTCCCCCTCGACATCTCAATATCAGTCCATCGGGTAGGTATTATTCAAAAAACATTCGAAAGGGATCAGCAATTTTGTGTCATCTCGACAGGTGCTGTCGGGTTTCTTCACTGAACTCGAGCCGCAGATGAGCCACAGCGCTGTTCGGTACAGCGATGGAAAGATACTCATCAGGAGCGCTAGTCTCAAGTGTCCTGATGACCGAAACCAGTCTGCCACTAGAGCTAGGACCAAACCTTTTTTTTTGTTTTTTGTTTGGGTGTGTTTTTGTGTTGTTGCGTGTGTTTGGGGGTCCACTACTGGTTTCTTAACAGAACTCGAGCTGCAGATGCGCTGCAGTTCGGCACATCAATCGAACGGGAATCATCAGGCTTGCTAGTCTGAAGTATCTAGCTGCCTGAACCCGGTCTGCTACCAGAGCTGGAATCAAACAAACTGTTCGTACTTCTTCAGTTTTTGAGATGATCGCGATTTTCATCTCAATTCGAGCTGCAGATCAGCTACAGAGCTGTTCGGCACAAGCATCCGAAAATCATCTTCGGGAGCGCTAGTCTCAAGTGTCTAGATGGGCAAAATCGGTCTTGTGCTAGAGCCAGGACCAACCACTATTTGTACTCTGTTTTTTTTTCTTTATCGGTTTTTTCCGATGATGCTGATGATGTTCTTGACCTAAATCGAGCTGCAGATGAGCTAGAGAGCTTTTTGGCACAGCAATCGAACAAACATCATCAGAAGCGTTAGTCTCAAGTATCAAGATGCCTGAACGAGCTGGACTCACAAACTATGTGTACTCTCCATTTTTATGAAATGATCTAAGCTTCTTAGCTTAAATCGAGCTGCAGATGAGCTACAGAGCTGTTCGGCACAGCAATCGGAAGGACACCAGTATCTAGATGCCTAAAACCGGTCTGCCACCGGAGCTGGAACCAACCAACTCTTCGTATTCTGCTCTTTCTTTAGAGATGATAGACCTTATCTTTACCTTTTTGGAGTTGTGGGTTGGCTGTGGAGCCATTTTCCGAAGCAGGAGGTCACCAGTTACATTCGCCTGCGGTGTCGAGACGTCGTCTCGTTTTCTTTTTTCTCCTCCTCCTCCTCTTTTGCCTTGCCCCTCTCCTCCTCTTCCTCCTCCTACTCCTCCTTCTCTTCCTCCGCCTCCTCCTCTTTCTCTTCCGCCTCCATCTGCTCCTGCTCCTCTTACTCATTCTCTTCCTTCTCTTCCCCCTCCTCCTCCCCCCCGTCATCAGCGCGCGGAATGCGAGATTGCCGCGCCGGCATGTCATTCATGTATATCGCATGGACGCTCTACGAGATCCCGGCGGTAACCAAAGTTGACGGTTCACCGCCGGCTCCCAGTTGACCTCGCGGCCAGGTGGGTGGCCTCTCTCGTCTGGTCTTAGCTACTCTGAATGTCCACCAAGCAGGTGGACAGGGGGAGAGGTAGTATGCTCTAATCAGCCGAGTTGGGGGGCAACAGGATGCCCGTGGTAAGCCGTCGAGCAGGTTGCCGCCGGGAACTTCGTGGAGCTCCGTGCACGCGTAGAAGTGCTGTCAATGGAGTCGGTAAGCTTCCTGGAATATCTGCTTGAACACTAGGGGGCACTGTTTTTTGGATTCACAAGCAAGGCACTTGCACGCATACTTTTGAGTGCAGCAGCTAGAGACCTTTTAACTCCTGATAATTCCAAGCGAACAGAACAGGGGCTATTGTAGTTGCAGAGAAACTTCATTCCTACGCGAATCGCCAGATTTTTTGAAAATTGCTTCAATATCTCGAATGTCTTCAAAAACTTTCATTTTCAATGTTGGTTCCTGAAAGTGAATTGAAGGAAATACTGCAGCTGAGAATTTCACCAGCCAGCGCATTGGCGATCCAACATTGAATGAACAAATGTTGGTCTCTCACAAGACTGGTCGAATTTCTCGAAATCTCACCAAACAAAACATTTTTTTCATACCAAGTTGAAGTCGGTTCCTCCTGTGATAGTAGGGCTGGAGCTGCGGGCCTGAGAATTGCACAGGCAGACGTTGCATAATCTGCCAGACGTGAGAAAAATTCTTGTTCTCAAAACGATTCCTCTAATTTCTCAAAATCTATGTATCTATTAAAAACAACAACAACAACAACAACCAAAAAAAAACCTTAGGTTACCGCGTGGTTCGCCCTGACAGGATCGGTCAACTAGCTCCACCCCACGCCGCAGCTCCTCTACCTCATCGCACCGAAGAGCTCTACGAGGTACTGGTGCGGTCCAAAAACCGGATAGCTGGGTGCCCGAAGGGCGTGAGAAGGTCTGGCGAAATGGGAGCCGGCGGTAAACCGTCAACCAGGTTACCGCTAGGACCCTCGTAGAGCTCTCGAGTGGCGCAATAGTGATCAGATGTCGACCAGACAGCTCAGGTGAATATTGGCCTTCCAATAATTCAAAAAATACTTCAGTGTAGTACTAAGATTGTCCATCAAGCTTTGTGTTTAAATTACAGCTCAAGATCTCGACATTGAACAGGCCATCGCGCCATGTCCAGAGAAATACTGGAGTAATGTATATTGCTGCATGCTGTTGTCGAATGCAAGAAACCATTATGATTTGGGAAAAAAATTCCGACTGCCAACGGTTCTTCCACGTTTTTTGACAGTAATATTGCAGCTACGGACCTGAGAATTTGACAGGCGAACGCGGCACAACCCACTCCACGTTACAAAAATAGTGGCTTCCGAAACGAATTTTCAAATCTCTCACAATCGTCGAAAAACCGACGCCAGGTTGTCACATTGTCCGCCCGGGCCGGGATGGCCAACTGGGATCCGGCGGTGAACCGTCAACCAGCTAACCGCCCGGAGCCTCGCACAGCTCTTCTCGCGCGGCGCTGCTCGAAACACACTGGACAAGCTTTCTCAAGCGTGAAGAAAAAAGCTCGGAAAATACGTTTTTCGGTTTTCATCCAACGTCTGTTCCCTCAAGTGTTTTGATCGTAATACTGCAGCTACGGACCTGAGAATTTGACTGGCAGACGCGGCATAACCCAGTACACGTGAGAAAAATACCAGCTCTTGAAAACGAATTTTCAAAATTTGCAGAAAGATACAAAACTCGACCCCAAGTCGTCACATTGTCTCTTGAGGTCGGGTCGGCCAACTGGGCGCCGTCGGTAAACCGTCAACCTTTCTTACCGCCGGGAGACTCGTAGAGCTTCCTTGCCATATATTATGGCCGAAGAGTTCGCAGAGAACGAATATTTTTTCAGCCCGAGAGCTGATAGCGGACTGATCTCAGACGTCCAGATACATGTCGATATTGCCCCTGATGATTCCCTTTCCATTGCTGTGCTGAACAGCTTTGTAGCTCATCTGCAGCACGAGTAAATCCAAGGAAACAGTACCATTTCCATGGAAGTAGCAGAGCGCGAATCGGTGTTCGGCCCTAGCGCTAATAGCAAACTGAGCGCGGGTGTCCAGATACTTTCGAATGGCGCGCATGATGATAACTTCCCGAATGTCTACGAGCTCTCAAGCTCATCTGCACCTCGAGTTCAGTCCAGAAGACGAATTCCATCACAAGGAAAACACAAATAGTATGACTCGTTGTTTGGCGTCTGCGCTTATAGCAGACCCAAGCCAAGCGTCTAGATACTCTAGACTAGCGCGCCTCATGATTCATTCCGACTTACGTGCGGAAAAACTCTCAAGTTCATCTGCAGCTCGAGTTAAGTAAAGAAATTCAACAACACTTCGAAAAAGAATCGGTCGAATACGAATAGGTTTGCGGGCCTGCTTCGAGTAGCAGACCAAGTGCAGACCTCTCGATGCAACCGACGAACGCGCCTGATGATTCTGAATCGGCTTCTGTGCGTACCAGCTCTGTAATTGTCCTACAGCTCGAGTTGAGTACAGAAAACCGACAACACCTGTCAAGGTGGCTCGAAGAATACGAACAGTTTTGCGGACCTAGCTCGAGTAGCAGACCGAGTTCAGACCTCTCGATACTACAAACGAACGCGCCTGATGAATCTGAATTGTTTCTGTATCAGCTCTGTAGCGTTCCTACAGCCCGAGTTAAGTACAAGAAACCGACAGCACCTGTCGAGATGACTCGAATAATACGCATAGTTTCGCGGACCTAGCTCGAGTAGCAGACCGAGTTCAGACCTCTGGATGCAACAGACGAACGCGCCTGATGATTTGGAGAGGGTTTCTGTCAGCATCAGCTCTGTAGCTGTCCTACAGCTCGAGTTAAATAGAAAAAACCGACAACGCCTGTCGAGATGACTCGAAACAGCCGATCCCGCCGGAATGCTTTTTGGCAGTAAAAGGTACCCGATCGAGCTGAGATCAAGCCGGCGAGCGGGAATGATATCGAATATCACGGGGAAAAATACTAGAGCTCAAACGAATCGTTGAATTTCGAGAACAAAATTTTCAACCGACCAAAGTCACCAAAAAGTCCGTCGAGATTTTTCTTCCCAACTGGCACCGGCGGTGAAACGTCAACCTGGTCTTTTTTTGCGTCTTTTGCGAAGGCCGGTTCGAGCTCCCATGGGAGCAGGCCTAAACACAAAGGACCTAAACAGCGAAGCTGTACAGGAAGACAGCGAAGCTGCAAAGATTAAAGCAGAGGTGCATCAAACAGCGAAGCTGTACAGATATGCACAAGACTGCCAATACACTAGAATACAAAACGACAAAGATGATCAAAGAAGCTGTACAAGGCAGCAAGAAGCAGTGAGAGACCATACAGTAACCACTGGTTTATACAGCGATTACCGTCTCAACACCACTGAGAAAGAACACGAAACTAAGAGAACTGAGATAGCGAGTGTGCTTTGACACCATGACTAAGTGGAACCTGGACGTGTGAAACCATGCCTAAGTGAAACCTGGTGTCGACCAGATCAAAGGCCTACTTTGAGGCACCACGTGACAAATCACGGAAAGTCACGTTCAAAGGTCAATGAGCACTCAAATCAAGGAAGCAACGAATGACCTAAGGGATCAGGCGAAGCTCTTGTTCAACACACGCGCATGCACGACAACGCACACAGGCATGAAGAAAGGCAACGCAATGTCAAAAACATACGTGCAGGATCAATCACATGTGCATCATCTGTGCCGTTTCCGATGCTTCTTGCCGCTCCGCGTCAATGCACTCCTGGAAGTAGAACTCTGAGGACCCCCTTGTTGCAAATCATCCTCCTCGGAACTTTCAATTCCCATTTGCAGCCTGTGTGCACGCCTGCGCTGAAACTCCTGTCTCGGGAGTCGGTGTAGCTCACGCCAAAGGGCACTGACATCGACACCGGAAAGGGCCCAGTCCCTGGCAGCTTGACACTCGTCCTCCGTCACTGCTGAACTCACAACTGCATTAGATAATCTCCCAGTCGTGGAACTCCCAGGGTGTGAAGCCATAGAATCCTTATGATGAGAATAATGCAACTGCTCATTCCGCAACTCCTCATTCTGCAACTCCTCACCCTGCAACTCCTCATCATGCAACTCCTCTTTCAGAACACCTGGATCAACAGAATCTTTATGATGAGAATACTGCAACTACTCATTCCGCAACTCCTCAGTCTGCAACTCCTCACCCTGCAACTCCTCATCATGCAACTCCTCTTTCAGAACACCTGGATCAACAGAATCTTTATGATGAGAATAATGCAACTGCTCATTCAGCACCTCCTCACTCTGCAAATCCTCATTCTGCAACTCCTCGCCCTGCAGCTCCTCATTCTGAACACCAGGAAGAAAAGAAACAGAACCCAGCACACCATCTGGAGACTGCACCGCATCTGGAGAATAAGCAACAGAATAAGACGAGAAAGCTTTCCCACGATCAGTTGGCCCATCGGGTTTAGCGACTCCGTCGAATGACTCAGTCATCACACCCAGAGCCTCTAGCACACGGATCTCTGGAGATTGCACCACGGCTGGAGACTGCACCACCTCTGGGGACTGCATCCCCACTGGAACGCACTGCAGAGTATGGATGTCAAAGAGGGCTTGTCGAAACATGGCGAGTCTCAGCCTTCTCGCTCTCCGCCGCCACGACGAGGATGGGAAAGAAGAAACGGGATAGGACATGGCATACAAAGTAGAAGTCGACGAGGCACAAAATTGCGTTGTCATGGCACCACACAGCAAGGGGTACTCACACAACAAATCTGACTCCACCCACTGCAGAGACAAGAGGTGCTCAAGCCGCCATCGCACGGCCCGCCCGCGCGCACACGGCCGCCCAGGGGGCAGCCTGAGGAGACAGGCTTGACACAGGCTTGAGCCTTGAGCCAGGTCACCGCCGGGAACCTCGTAGAGCTCGTTGCACGCGTAAGAGTGCTTAGATTCAAAGCAGAGAGCTTATCGGGGAATTTCTAGAAAAACGTCGAATTTCCACTCTTCGTTGCCAACTTGATGTCGGTTGTTCTTAATTTTTCGATAGTAAAACTGGCTCTAGAGCTGAGCTGCTCTGGGGACAACTTTTAAATGCCAATGCTCGGCGTAAAAAATTACTTTCTCAAAATGAATTGTCCAATATCTTTCAAATACCAGCAAAACCGACCAAAAATTATCACTTTGTCTCTTCTGGTCGGGTCGACCAACTGGGCGCGGGCGGTAAACCGTCAACCTTTCTTACCGCCGGGAGACTCGTAGAGCTTCCTTGCCATACATTATGGCCAAAGAGTTAGCAGAGAACGAATGTGTTTTCAGCCCGAGCGCTGATAGCGAACTGATCTCAGACGTCTAGATACATTTCGCTATTGCCCCTGATGATTTCCTTCCCATTGCTGTGCTGCACAGCTTTGTAGCTCATCTGCAGCACGAGTACATCCAAGGAAACAATACCATTTCCAAGAAAGTAGCAGAGCGCGAATCGGTGTCCGGCCCTAGCGCTAAAAGCAAACTGAGCGCGGATGTCCAGATACTTTCGAATGGCGCGCATGATGATATCTTCCCAACTGTCTACGAGCTCTCAAGCTCATCTGCACCTCAAGTTCAGTCCAGAAAACGAATTCCATCACAAAGAAAACAAAAATAGCATGACTCGTTGTTTGGCGTCTTCGCTTATAGCAGACCCAAGCCAAGCGTCTAGATACTCTAGACTAGCGCGCCTCACAATTCATGTTGATTTACGTGCGGAAGAACTCTCAAGTTCATCTGCAGCTCGAGTTAAGTAAATAAGTTCAACATCATTTCGAAAAAGAATCGGTCGAATACGAATAGGTTTGCAGGCCTACTTCGAGTAGCAGACCAAGTACAGACCTCTCGATGCAAACGACGGACGCGCCTGATGATTCTGAATCGGTTTCTGTGCGTACCAGCTCTGAAATTGTCCTACAGATCGAGATGAGTTCAGAAAACCGACAGCACCTGTCAAGATGACTCGAAGAATACGAATAGTTTTGCGGACGTAGCTCGAGTAGCAGACCGAGTTCAGACCTCTCGATACGCCTGATGAGTCTAAATCGGTTTCTGTAAGTATCAGCTCTGTAGTGTTCCTACAGCCCGAGTTAAGTACAAAAAACCAACAGCACCTGTCGAGATGACTCGAATAATACGCATATTTTCGCGGACCTAGCTCGAGTAGCAGACCGATTTCAGACCTCTCGATTCAACAGACGAACGCGTCTGATGATTCTGAATCGGTTTCTGTGACTATCAGCTCTGTAGCGTTCCTAAATCTCGAGTTAAGTACAAAAAACCGACAACGCCTGTCGAGACGACTCGAAACGGTCGATCCCGCCGGAGTGCTTTTTGGCAGTAAAAGGTACCCGATCGGGCTGAGATCAAGACGGCGAGCGGGAATGAGATCAAATATCACGGGAAAAAAATACTAGAGCTCAAACGAATTGCTAAATTTCGAGAACAAAATTTTCAACCGACCAAAAGTCACCAAAAGGTCCGTCGATATTATTATTGCCAACTGGGCGCCGGCGGTAAACCGTCAACCTTCCTTACCGCCGGGAAACTCGTAGAGCTTCCTGACCATATACTATGTCCAAAGAATTAGCAGAGAACGAATAGTTTTTCAGCCCGAGCGCTGATATCAGACTGATCTCAGGCGTCTAGTGATATCCCCTTGCTGTGCTGAACAGTTCCATGGCTCATCTGCAGCGTGTAGAAAATACCATTAGGGAGAAAATAGCAGAGTACGAATCCGTGGTTGCTGCTCTGTAGCTCGAGTTCAGTGAAGAAATTCACCATAATTTGGAAAACAATGTCGGTCGAATACGAATAGTTTTGTGAACCTAGCTCGGGTAGCAGACCGAGTTCAGACCTCTCGATGCAACAGACGAACGCTCGCAATGCTGCTGCATCAGTTTCTGTGCGCACCAGCTCTGTAGCTCTCCTACAGCCCGAATTCACTACAGAAAATTGACAACATCTGTCAAGATCACTCGAAGAATACGAATAGTTTTGCGGACCTAGCCCGAGTAGCAGACCCAGTTCAGACCTCTGGATGCAACAGACGAACGGGCCTGGTGATTCCGAATCAGTTTCTGTGCGTATGACCTCTGTAGCTCTCCTACAGCACGAGTTACGTGCGAAAAGGGACAGCACCTCCCAAGATGACTCGAACGATACGAATAGTTTCGCGGACCTAGCTCGAGTAGCAGACCGAGTTCAGACCTCTCGATGCAACAGACGAACGCGCCTGATTATTGTGCATCGGTTTCTGTGCGTATCAGCTCTGTACCTCCCCTAGAGCTCGAGTTCAATCCAGAAAACCGACAGTCCCTGTCGAGATGACTCGAGCGATACGAACAGTTTTGCGGACCTAGCTCGAGTAGCAGACCGATTTCAGACCTCTGCATGCGACAGGCGCACGCGCCTGATGTCTCCGAATCGGTTTCTGCAATTACCAGCCCTGTAGCCCCCCTACAGCCCAGGTTAAGTACAGAAAACCGACAGCACCTCTCAAGATGACTCGAACGATACGAATAGTTTCGCGGACCTAGCTCGGGCAGCAGACCGAGTTCAGACCTCTGGACGCAACAGACGAACGCGCCTGATGATTCTGAATCGGTTTCTGTGAGCATCAGCTCTGTAGCTCTCCTACAGCTCGAGTTAAGTACAAAAAACCGACAACGCATGTCAAGATGATCCCAAACGGCCGATCCCGCCTGTGTTTTTGGCAGTAATATCTACCCGATCGAGCTGAGATTAAGACGGCGAGCGGGAATGAGATCGAATATGACGGGATAAAATACTAGAGCTCAAACGAACTGGGCGCCGGCGGTAAACCGTCAACCTTTCTTACCGCCGGGGGGCTCGTAGAGCTTCCTGACCATATACTATGTCCAAAGAATTAGCAGAGAACGAATAGTTTTTCAGCCCGAGCGCTGATATCAGACTGATCTCAGGCGTCTAGTGATATCCTATTGCTGTGCTGAACAGTTCTATAGCTCACCTGCAGCGTGTAGAAAATACCATTAGGGAGAAAATAGCAGAGTACGAATCCGTGTTTGGCGTCTGCGCTCACAACAGACCCAAACCAAGCGTCTAGATGCTTCGCGCCTCATGATGTCCTTCTGATTCTTCGGCCGAAGAGCTCTCGATCTGCCCTGCAGCTCGAGATCAGTGAAGAAATTCACCATCATTTGGAAAAAAACTGTCGGTCGAATACGAATAGTTTTGTGAACCTAGCTCGGGTAGCAGACCGAGTTCAGACCTCTCGATGCAACAGACGAACGCTCGCAATGCTGCTGCATCAGTTTCTGTGCGTACCAGCTCTGTAGCTCTCCTACAGCCCGAATTCAATACAGAAAATTGACAACATCTGTCAAGATCACTCGAAGAATACGAACAGTTTTGCGGACCTAGCCCGAATAGCAGACCCAGTTCAGACCTCTGGATGCAACAGACGAACGGGCCTGAGGATTCTGAATCAGTTTCTGTGCGTATGAGCTCTGTAGCTCTCCTACAGCACGAGTTACGTGCGAAAACGGACAGCACCTCTCAAGATGACTCGAACGATACGAATAGTTTCGCGGACCTAGCTCGAGTAGCAGACCGAGTTCAGACCTCTCGATGCAACAGACGAACGCGCCTGATTATTGTGCATCGGTTTCTGTGCGTATCAGCTCTGTAGCTCCCCTAGAGCTCGAGTTCAGTACAGAAAACTGACAGTGTCTGTCGAGATGACCGAGCGATACGAATAGTTTTGCGGACCTAGCTCGAGTAGCAGACCGATTTCAGACCTCTGCATGCGACAGGCGCACGCGCCTGATGTCTCGGAATCGGTTCCTGCAATTACCTGCCCTGTAGCCCCCCTACAGCCCAAGTTAAGTACAGAAAACCGACAGCACCTCTCAAGATGACTCGAACAATACGAACAGTTTCGCGGACCTAGCTCGGGCAGCAGACCGAGTTCAGACCTCTCGATGCAATAGACGAACGCGCCTGATTATTGTGCATCGGTTTCTGTGCGTATCAGCTCTGTAGCTCTCCTACAGCTCGAGTTTTGGTGTTTGGTCAGGCTACACAGGGCGCGTGCGCCCAAGCCTAAGGGCTAGAGCCAGTTAAATCCGCCTCCTCCGCTTTGCAGAGGAAATTTCTTTAACAATGTGCTCCACACCTGTGCACAGGCGCTCGGCAGCAGATAATTCTGCCTCCGTCACGGTGGCACCTACATCAAACATGTAGGCTTCTGAGCTCACGAGTGTCCACGGGCCATTCTCTGGAGCAACTTCGATCCAGTGACCTCCTGCAGCACCCTCACTGCTCACTCCACCATCCCAGCATCCTCTGATGTATTTGATGTTTGTCCTGTTCTGTTTGATATAGTCATGCTTGTAAATTCTGTAACAGTTTCCTTCTCTCGCATGGTGTGTCAGCTCATCAGCATAGGCATTGGCTTCCCTATAGATATGTTTCCAGAAATCCCTACCGTACGTCGGGCATCGTATGTTGTGTTGTTCACTCACGTCATACATGATATTTTGTATTCTGGCGATCCGTTTGGCATACCCACTGTTGTCACAGGCCCAGACTCCCCTCAACCATTGTACGACCGTTTTACTGTCTCCGCACATTTCAACAGCGATACCTTCCATCCCAGGGTCCCATATCGTAGTCTGTTCATTAATAACTGCAAGACGTCGGGCCAACTCGTCATCTGTCGGTGTCTTCGCAAACCCTCCCGTCCTCCTCTCCTTACTCCTCCTCACAAACATATCCTCCACTTTGGGTATCTGTGATATGTGTTCCACAAACTCCTCCCAATCCGTCAGTACAACGCACGTGTCGTGCCACAGAAGCGACCTCCACTTTTCAAAGGGTGCATGCCAGCTGCTCGCCACGATTCGTGGTCTGCCTCTGAGCCGTCTCGTTCCCTCTCTCG